ATACTAAATTGCCTTTGTGACAAGGTACACAGCACTGTTACAGATTATAATGGAGCTTGGCAGAGTGCCAGAAAGACGAGGCTAGGTTGCAAGCATCCAGACCTTCTATACCTGGATAGTTTCACTCATAGAACAATTTTAGTGTTTGTGTGTTTTTCCTTTTTGATATGAAGATTGTGAAGCAAAGCCTAGAAATATACAAATGCAGGCCAGCACACACACAAGTTGGCAATCCAGTTTTGATAATCTAATCCTGATATTACAAGAGCAGACGTTCACCTTTCTTTGAAGTCCTTCCAAATTTTATCTGTAATTAGTTGCAGTAAAAAGGGAACATCAATTTCATAGCCAACTTCTGCGTTTGGCATCCTTGGGCAATCCTGGGCCTCCAAGTATCCTGGCAAGCTTCACAGAGGATTGCTAGATCTGCCCCATGTTAAGAAAAATCCAGTGGAATGCTCTAAACCCAACTGGGCAGCTGATCCTAACAGTCACCAGAATGGCAATATGCTCAGGCCCACTAAGCCTCCTATGGCTTTCAGATCTTCAGAGGAGGTCATTTTCTCATTCACACCACCTTCATACTGTAGGTACACTTGGTGTGGACACAAGTGAAGACCTTTTTAATGGCTGATCCCAGGCTACTGAACGTTTCTCTCCTGGGATACCATGCCAACCTCCTCTCTGACATACTTCTTCCATCAGGCAAAGACCTTCCTTTCAGGCAGCCTTTTATTATGTAAACTACCATCGATGAAAGGATTTTAAATAAATATTTATCTTTTTATTTTTTAAAATGGTTTTAAAAATATTTTAAAGCGATTATAGTTAGAACAGTTTAATAAATATGTTTAATTATCTGATTTTTAAAATATTTGCAATTGTTTCAGTATTTGTGCTTATTAATAGTGTGATTTTAAAAAATATTTGCATTTTTAAAGTCTTTGTGCTTTTAAATAATTTGCAAATCTCTTTGAGTCACACTATAGGGAGATAGGCCAGACAGAAATTTAATAAACAAATAAGTTAAAACAATAGCAAATCAAGACCATTAAAATGTTACTATTTTAGACTACAACTCTCAAAATCCCCTAGTTGACAGAGCCACGCTGGCTACAGGTTGTGGATTTTGTAGTCCAGAAGAGTAACTTTTTCCAACCTCTGAGCTACCGTGTTTCCCTGAAAATAAGACAGGGTCCTATATTAATTTTTGCTCCAAAAATACATTAGGGCGTATTTTCAGGGGATTTTTTTTCATGTACAACAATCTACATTTATTCAAATATGGTGGTGTCATATTCTTCTGGTTGCTGCACAATGGTGGAGGGGGGGCTTTCACTTCACTGGGGTTTATTTTTGGGGTAGGGCTTATATTATTTATGAGCATCCTGAAAAATCATACTAGGGCTTATTTTTGGGGAAACAAGGTAGACCGTGGTAAAAGTAGCTGCTGATGGTGCTACTTCCACCAGGTAAGCCTGCAAGAGCTCTCTAATGGAGAAAAGCAATAAATAAATCTGGGCAGCAGGGCAGTATACTGTATGTATTTAAGCCTGCACTGTCTCTGGAGGAAAAAAATGTTGAATCAGAGGCTGCCCTACTCTGGACACATTGTGAGAAGGCAGGATTCTCCAGAAAGACAATAATGCTGGAAAATGTGAAAGGCAGCAGGAAAAGAGGAAGATCAAATATGAGATTGACTGACTCCCTAAAGGAAGCCGTGGGCTTGAGTTGAGCAGGACAGATGAGGACAGGACATTTTGGAGATCACTCATTTATAGGGTGGTCATGAGTTGGAGGTGACATGATGGCACAAAACAACAAACAACAGAGGATTCATTATTCACCATCCACTTAAACCTGGCATCAGACCTATTTCATTTAATGGAGAGTCAGTCCTTGTGCACTTTTTATTTGCATAATAATCCTCCAAAATCACTTATCATGCCATTGATTTTCATGAGGCTTTTTGGATTTGTCATGAAAATTTTTAAACGGAGTAAACTTTTAGGACACATAAACACATAATCTTTTCCTAAGCATCGGTCACCCCGCGACTGTTAAGGGCTTGTGTTTAATTTTTTTTTACTGATCTAACGTGCTGCAGTAGTTCCAGTGACGTCAAGAACTGAAGGAAGAGCTGGAATGTGGACTTTTATATACCCGTTTTCAAGCCTTTGTCTTGTTGCAGGAAACCCAGCCCTGAAGACGATTCCCAAATAACTGGGTTCAACACTGCAGTCTGAGAGTTTTCTTAAAAAGCAGTTGAGATCCGCAAGATTCCAGAAGTATAACTTAAAAGATAAAAATAAATAAAGACCACACACAAAACTATTAGCTGGTACCCTGCAAAACAATTGCTATTATGACCAGTACATTATGGCTGTACATGACTCAGCAGCACGATTTAAAAAATACCGTACCTCACCAGGGTAATAATAGAAGGCAGAAAAAAGCCTTATGTTAAAGGCAGAACAATATCATTGGCAAAATGAAGGGTTGGCCAAGGGCAACCCTTCATTTTCAATGAATATTGACAAGGGATCCTTTTGCTGGAATATTGCATGTTCATGTTCATAGACACTCAAAAATATTCTGAAGTCTCGCAAAATGCTCTTGTCTCTTGCTATTTAGGAGCCAATAAAAACCTTTGGTGAACTTAAGAAAGTGAATAGCGCATTCTTGCTTAGAGCTACCACCCAACTAAATTGTGATTGCTTCCATTTAGAACATGTTGCCCTGGGAAACCTAAAGTAATTAAAGTGAGGCTAGAGAGGCAATATCTCAGAAAGAGAGCGAAAATGTCTGCAGCCACAAAGCCGCACTTTCAGGGAAGAAAATAATAGAGGGAAAGTGAGACACCATGTTCTCATCCCTTTTATCTTGCTCTTAAAAGTTGCCGAACAAAAAGTAAATACTTTGAGCAAAATAAAAGAAGAATCATTTGCAAAACACAAGACATTTGTACAAATATATGTTTACACAAATGAACACTGAGATAGTGATATGGGGGAGATGCTTAAAAGTGTTTTTAAACCTCTGTGTTGTTTTTTTTTAAATGAAGGCACTATTGTCTTTCATCGTGCTCAGGGCCAATACTTCATCTCTCATTAATTGGGCAGAAATTAATTGCGGACTCTTGCTTATTTTAAAAAGCAACGTAACCAGTTCCTCACCATGATCAGCACCAACTCACTGGAAATTCTTCATACTAGTGTCCAGATAGTGAGTGATTCTGAGATTTTTCTTACCCGGCAATTCAAATACAGTAGCTATGGTATAGCTGAAGTCCAGCAAAAATGCCTCTGATTAAATCAGTGGTTCCCAACCTTGGGTCCCCAGATGTTCTTGGACTGTAACTCCCAGAAACCTTCACCACTAGCTGTGCTGGCCAGGATTTCTGGTAGTTGTAGTCCAAACACATCTGGGGACTCAAGGTTAGGAACTACTGAACTAAATAGTAGTGTCAAGGTCATGTCAAAAAGTATCCATATAAATGTACATCTATAATGTCACCTTTACATTTATGTTTGTGCTGCCCTGTTTGCTATGACTTAGCAAAGGCAGGCTTTCTCAGAGGCAGATTTAGATGTCTTCATGTTTTCATTTTGAGAGCCATGATCCAAACCAGGAAAAAAAGCTATAATGGCTTATCTGTAATTCAAAACCATTCTGCATTATTCACCAGAAAGACACTGATTTACTGCTCTCTCTTTGTATCCCAATCAATGGAGTCTGAAGCTGTGTAAGTGGACAGCCATGTAAGTGTGCATTCAGTTTTTCCCATGAGCCTAGCAAAGAACAATAGTAAGAAGCAACTTATGAAGCAATTTGAGGAAAGGTTATATAGGCACAGTAAACCATGGATTTATAGGATTTTCAGGTTGGACATGTCATCATCAAAAATATCTCTACTGATCTCTTACCAACTCCTTTGGGAGGGAAAGTCCCTGTCTGTGGGCAAGTTGGCAATTGTCTTTAAATACACATCTCCCTTTGAAATCAATGGGATTTAATGGGGCTAAACTTTGGCTGGAGTTCACCTTAACTTCCAGTTTGAGCTCCCAATCTGTAGAAGTGATTGTTAATGAAACATCCAAAATAATAGCAATACAGAGCATATTGTGATTAGCTTACTCAGTGATCACTGACATGTTTTTGCATAATTACAAGATTGTGCTGCATCACAAGCATTTCAAGTGTGCTACATATTTCCCATTAGGTGAGTTTTTATCATCTCTGACAAAAGAGGCATTGTTTTAAAACATGGTGTTAAACAACTCACTGAAGAGACCCGCAGGTTTTGCAACTGGAGGTCATAATTAGAGTAGTGCAACTGGTGGGAAATTATTCATTAACATGTTTTTCAGCACTGCTCTCATTTTTCATTTAGCCTTAACTGCTGCTGTTGCCATCTGCTTACTGCTAGCCATGGAGAAGATATCCTCCTCAAACATGTATAGTTAGATAAATGACTAATTTTGATACAGCTACCTCATTCACATGCAAATAAGGGCAATTAACTGGGTCATCATAGCCACATACAGTATAGGAGAATTCAAGAACGAATGGCTTTTCAACACCTTGAAATAGCATTCCTTTGCAGTCCTGTGAACTCTACATCCCATGGAATTTACCTCAGAACAGACCCATTTTGGACTGAACTCTTCAAGGCTAACACCTGACAGAACTCATTAAAATAGTGGCAGAAAGGTTTTTTAAAATCCTGGAAAAGATACTCATGTATGGATGTGGAAGCTAGACAGTAATGAAAACTGACAAGGAAAAAAGATATTTGTTTGAAATGTAGTCCTGGAGGAGAGCTTTGTGGATTCCCTGGACTAGCAGAAAAACAAACAAATGCACTCTGGAGGCAAACATATTCAAACAGAGGCTGTTCTACTTTGGGCAAATAATGAGAAGGCAAGATTATCTGGAAAAGACAATAATGCTGGGAAAGGTAGAAGGCAGTAGGAAAAGAGGAAGAGGGTTGTACATACCTCCCGATGCACATTCTGGAGTGAAAGAAATGTCATCAAGAGCAAATTCTATGGCCTCATTACTTCCTACTTCAGCTTCAAATGCTACTTTGAAAGGGCGATTGCTGGAAAGGACCACATTTGCATAGGTCCATGTACTGCTTTGCACTCCAGTTGCAGCCCACATCAACATGTCCATTCCAAATTCTTCAACGGTAAACACCTGTTGATAGCAAAGTCAAGAACACACTCACATATCATTATGTCAGTATCATTCTATAAGGGCAAAAGTCAAATGTTTGGAGGAATCTCTCTCAAACCAGACACTACTGAACATACACAAATCCTCCCCTTTGTCCTGTAGTTCAGACAGTGATAGTTTAGAAAATGAATTTGTACGTACAGTTAGTAAGTACCATTTCAACAGAGAGGTCGGTTTACTTTATTTGTCTGTTTATGTTAAGGAAGATTTCTCATCCCATTTTTATGCAGACTGCCAGAATGGTGTTTCCTGAGCACTGGTAATGAAACACTGTGAAAATGGACCCTGAATACACGTGTTTGCAATATTGGTATGGTATTTTGAGTGTTGTACTGAAAATATCAATATTCAAATACCCATGTAGCTGTGAAGTACACTAACTGACTCTGAGCTGTTGATTAGATTAGATTAGATTAGATTAGATTAGATTAGATTAGATTAGATTAGATTAGATTAGATTAGATTAGATTAGATTAGATTAGATTAGATTAGATTAGATTAGATTATTCATTCATTCTTTCACTCAATTTCTATACTGCCTATTTGGCTATCAAGGCCACTCTGGGCCATTCACAACATAGTATAACAACAAATAACATTTAAAAAAACCCACAAAACAGATATAATACAGATAATCAAATTAAACATACCAGTCAACTAATATTAACTAAAATTAATCAACTGATTCATTTAAGAGGATTGGAAAAAGAAGAAATAGTGACTGATCATTGCATCTAACATACACATGACTAAGTGTGCAATGGAATTTGGCCCTTTACATTTGTGAAAACTCTATGATAACAAATTATAGTTATTTCCTTTTAGAAATGGATAGACGTTGAAGAAATGCTCAAAAAGAGAGCATTTGTTCAATAAATAACTGCTGGTGTGGCCATTATAAAGTCTAACTAGGATTCAAAGTATCTGGGATCAAATCCCAGTAAGACATAAAAATCACTGAGTAACTTTAGCCCAGTCATACTACTTTAGCTTGAAGTGACCCATGTATGCTTCCTTGAGCTCACTGGAAAAAAGTGAGATATGAAAGTAAAAAACAACAACAACAACAACAATTTTATAAACCTGACCTCTGAGGGCACTTTTCATTTCACACTGGGCAACAAAGTTGATAGTCCTCTACTTTAATGTCCCCAGTGTCCTGGGAGTGACCTGTCTAAGAACTGTCTAGGGTTCTAAGGAAACAGCAGAACCCAAAACCTTTTGGAGTGTAGCTTCTATGGCCAGGTATATTTGAGGGTGCCCATCAACATTAACATGGGCCTATAAGAGAGAGAGAGAAAACAATTTAACTGGAGCTCCCTCAAACATGGAGATGGACCAAGAATGATCTTACACATTTACCATAACATCAAAGGAGGCTCAAGACCAATTGCTGTAAAGATACTGAGGAGAGAAACATGACAAATATTTAGCAGTAAACTGAATGGTAGCATTGGGGAAACGTTTCCAGATGTGATGGGAAGATAAATAAGTGGGTCCTAGATGAAATCAAGTCTGAACTCTTTCTGGAAGAATAAGTGACTCAACTGAACATCACAGACATCATAAAATAACAAGGCATACTAGAAAAAACAATAAATGCAGTGAAAAACCCTAAGCAGGAAGAAAAGAGGAAAACAAATATATGTTGCATGCATTCAACCAAGTTAGCCACAGCTTTGAATTTGCAAGATATGAGCTTGGCTGTTGATGAAAGGACTTTAAGGGTCACTATAAAATGGAGTCGACATGCTGGCACATAACCTCATGATTGAAGTGGTTGATCCTGGAGATCCTTTCAAGGTTTTGTCTTATCTCAGAATTGTTATAAGGAAAACTACTGATTTGCAGCAGCAGTAATGAATGTGATAAGCAACACTTTGCCCAAAGAAATAATGTCAAACATGGAAAACAGTACCAAAATTGCATGACCAGCATGTTTCCCCTTTTCAAAAATGAGCTGAAGTAAGTAGGAAAAACTAGCCATTTGCAATGACATCAACTTGTCCTTGCCAAAATTTATTATACCCCAGTTCACAGCAGTTTATGTAATATAGACTGCCTAACAAGCTGGAAAACTGAAATATTGGACATATATTATCACAAGGGGAATTAATTTTGCTTCAACTTCCAGGATTATTGCAATATGTTCAAGTAGCACTGCTGTGAATGGTTGCTGAACGGTGAACCTGCAATTATTCTCTTCTCCTCATTCTAGATTGAAAAGCAATACAGGGGTTGAAGGTCAGCAATCAAAAATGCTATGAAAGAAGTAAGATGCTCTATGCATGGCTGTATTTAACAGCTGTGTTCTTATGTGCCATCAGTTCAGAACTTATAGTAACTCTAGTAGAACTTTCAAGCTAAGTGAGATGTTTAAGGAGTGGTTTTACCAGTTCTACACCCCTTGGCTGAGCAGGGATTCAAACCCAGGCCTCCTGAGTCGTAGTCTGTCTCTCTATCTGCTACACTATGCTGGGTATCCTTACCAGCTTTACTCATCTTGAATCTCAGTACAAATAGCTGATGGAGTGATGAACTGGAAAAGCTGATGTGAGGAGAAATAGCCCCTAATTTTTGCAATTAGGGAACATATTTTGAGCATCTTTTATAGTTCTTTCAATCAAAGCTGGAAAATACCAGAAGGCTGGAAGCAAAGTCTCATTGAAATCAATGGGGCTAATTTCTAAATAGACATACACAGAATTGCAATACAAATAAATTAATTAGTGATCATTGTACATACATCATCTATTATAAAAGGCAATGCAAGGGTGAATATTATACAGCACTGCCTTTTTGCTATTAACAAGTGCAATCTAGCTTAAAAGACTGAACGGTGTGAATATATGCTGCTGAGAACTGTTATATCTACTACAACAACATGAGCAGTATAATATATACATAATCTGTATATACATGATTATGTATGGTGTCTGGGTAGTGGAGCTACACACAAGCCTGTCAAGAAATGAAAACTGCGTACCATTGCCAGTGTTACTGTTGTTCAGATTAGGAACATGTTATGAGAAATCATGTACAGTAGTACCTCGGTTTACGAACGCCTTGGTTTACGTAATTTTTGGTTTACAAATGGAAATCTGTTGAAAATAATGCCTCAGTTTACGTTCCCCCCCCAGTTCATTTTGATTTGCAAAGAAAGTTTCCCCAGGATGCATTGTGCCTGGAGGTTTGTAGAGCTGCCCCCATTCCTATGGCAATCCACATTTCAGTTTACAAATTTTCTGCATTACACAACTTTCCAGAGAACATATTAATTTTGTAAACCAAGGTACTATTGTAACCGGTTACCAAGAAAAGGATGGATAATGCTATCCTAATCAGACAGCTAGTAAGTACTTCTTTTGCTTACCTTTAAGATTCCAGCGTTGGGGGAATTACACATCCAAAACCAGAAACGGAGTCTGCATATACCCAGACTGGCTGGGAAGAATCTAGTGGTAACTATTTTTGCTCTGTTGCCTTCTTGTTGAGAAGATGAATTAACGTATAAGAAATTATGTCCATTTCCTTCAAGTAGAGAAAGATGCCATCTCAGTATTATTATAGTATTAAAATGAAGGAACTCTATTTCTCTTAGGGTGACATATAAAAGACACAGACATAATGATAAGTTTATCAGTGAAGATTCTCAGTCATCCAGGTGAGGTTATCTGGAAGTTGAATCATGGCAACTGGACTCCTTTCTTGTCAGGTGGAAACATTTCACTACTCATCCAAGTTGCTTCTTCAGTCTGAGGTGAATTTGTAGGCGATCCATGATAAGTTATAACACTTGGGTTACCCAAGTGTTCTTGAACTACAACTCCCAGAAACCCCAGCCAGTTGTGAAAGCTTCTGGGAATTGCTTTCTAGGAATACATGGGTTACCCAAGGTTGGAAACCAATTCTCTAGAAGCACACAATGGTCTGCTTTTCTATGCTTTCCCTAAAGTGGTGGTGTGCTTTTAAGTAAAATCTGACTTAGAAAACCTTGAAAAGGCCACACAGGCTGGCTCTTCTGAGATGCTCAGTGAGGAATTGAACTCATAACCAGAAACCTAGCCCACTGAGCTATCCAGCCAGCTACAAACAGGAGTGGAGTCAAAATAATATTTCTGAAACTTTTTCTTTGTTCCTTATTTAATCAATATTAGGGGAACTGAACACAGAAATTACAGATCTTCTTGCACAAGATACTGTTCCCAAATATTGCCAGGCTTTTGAGCAACTTTTTTTCCTCGTACATGTTAATGGTTCTTATATTTAATTGTAACAATACCTTTCTATCTAGCACCTAATCTCTGTAGAACCAGGCAGGTTCTGCTGTGCAGGAGAAATACAAATAAACTTTTTTCCAGACTTCTGAGATAAAATGAAGAGAAAAGAAAGATCCAAGGATCTCATATTTTAAGCAGTGCATTTCCTTAGAGGTCATGGAGTTCTTTGAACATTTGGCACATGCTTTTCTGTTAGAAAACATAAACCGTCTCCTTGCCCTGCAATGCAAGATTGTTCACCTATCTAGAATCTACCCTTGATGACTTTCCACAAAATCCATGTTATTGCAGCTGCACAGAATGCTTCACAAGGTCCAATGCATCTCCCCTAACCCCCCCCATCCCATAATATCCTGGACTATGCTTGGATGTCAGCTGATGAAAAATACTACTTAGGGCAACAAGAAGGAGTAAGAGTTGCCTGAATGAAGGTCTATGTTATACCCTTATTCAAGAAACAAAATAAAGTACAAGATACCATTGGCAACGTAGTATTATTCATTTGATTATTGGATTTGTATTCTGCCTTTCTCTCCCCTTCCCCCAAATTGTAGCAAACAGTAAAATGGATAAAAAGAACAAGTGAAAAAGAAAGATGTAAAAGATTAATGTACAAAAAATTTTTAAAAAACATTCAAAAACAAATCATGAAGAATAAACATACAAACAGAAATATCTACACTCAAACAGATTAAAAACTCCTCTTACAATCTCCCAGCTTGGTTGCCTGCCTGAATAAAAAGAATTTTAAAGAGAGACAGTGCCAAAACATTTTGTTTGGTACTACAGGGCAAATAGGTAGGTCAGGGGAGCAAGTAAGCATTTCTAAAGGGACGTGCAAAAAACATTTTTAAAAAACCTTCTTCCCACTTGCTACAGCTTATATTCAATCAATGCTCACTGATTATTTTAACCTCTTTAAATACCTTTGAGAATCTGACAGCATATTTCCCATCTCTTTTTTGAGTGGACTTTTTTTGTTTTAGATGGTTATTTATCTTTAATCAAGGGCATCAAAATTTCCTTGCTGGATCAAATTGAAGGACATTTTAGTCTACAGTTCACTTTTTTATTGGGTTTATCACATGTACTCAAAGTGTGAAGGAGGCTGAGAAAGAGCCAGATGCTCACACTCTCTAGGCTTTAAGCGATGGTCTGCTTCATTAAGTTGTTAATTCCAGTGACATGCTAGTGTAATGAAGGGCAGCAGGTGAGGTGTCTGATGAAGCAATCTGGGGAAGTAATTAATGCACATGACACAGTGTTTGTTATGAAGGTGTGCAACAAGGGTACAGGTTGATGGAAAGTGTTGTTAGCACCTCCTTCAAGCAGCAGTTGTTTAACTGATAATCAACATTTCAAGATAGCAAAAATGGACAAAGTGCAAATAAAGTGTTTGCCAGGGAGCCCCTCACTACAGTGCTTAGAGAATCTGGTCCAGCTGGATTGGGGTTTCAGCTTCAAAAGATCATTCCTCATTGAAGTGGCTCCCTTTGCTGTCATTTACAATTATATGTAATTTGGGTTTTCCTGTTCCTTGAAGTCAATATATCTAATGGGTCTCAAAATTGTCACATAACAGATCTCGAAGACTTAAATAGGGCTGCCTTTTAAGGGTGGGTTGAAACTTGCTCGGTTCTGCCTTCAATTTTATGTCCTTTCTTGCTGCCATTCGGTTTTCAGTAGAAGGGTGTGTAGTGACAAATGGGGGGGGGGAGTTCCCAGTTATTTTCAAAGGGTGGAGATGATGTCTTTGGTGTAGGTAGTAAAGGTGGGGATCTCACAAATATGAGTTCTGCGAAAGGCAGAACCAGAACATTTCTCTGCAGCCTTAACAAGCACCTTTCCCAGAATTCTTTGAGAGATGCCATGATAGTTAATCTGGTTCAAAACTGATAGATGGTTGCAGTATAGAATGACAGGCACTGTAACTTGCATTCCTGATAATGAACATGGTAAAGATATAATACATGGAAAGCTGAGTGAAACTACAATGGCAGTCCCCTTTTATTCATCCAAAGGGTAGTGAATGTGATCTGCTACCCTTTGCTCCAATTCAGTTCAATGCAGAGAATTGCCTCTCTTACTGCTACTGAGTGAACACAGTCTGAGCAGCTGCAGAAGTGTTTCTGTCTTCCAATGCAGAAATGTTTCACATATAGTAGCTGGCTGAATAGCTCACTGCCCTAGGTTTCTGGCTGCAGAGCCAGAGGAGTTCAGCCTGTGTAGAATTGGGCATACAACACAGTTCCAGGGCGCTCCCAGAAGATTCCCAGAAGAAGGGAATGGTAAACGACTTCTGAGTACTCTCTACCTATAAAAACCCTGGAACAGGTTGTCATAAGTCAGAACTGACTTGACATCACCACCATTATTATTAGGCAATGAAAGATCAAATAATACATGTGTGAATACAGCTTCATTGGATTGTTCTTCCATGAGTGTACAGCCACCAAAGCATAATACTACTGTTATGTGTTGGTCAGAATCCTACTAGTGATATATGCTTGGTAAATTGCATAAATCTTGGTGGCGCATTGCTGGGTGTGTTCTTCAGTATATGTCCAATTGACCACATCCCAGTACCTCATTCTCAGAAGAATATGTCATGCTCAGAGGAAGAACACCCCATTCCCAGAGGTATATTCTGAAGCTGATTCTCCCTGAGTTCTTATGAGTCCAGCCAACCCACAGATATGCCCCTGAAGACACTAGACTAGGCTCCTCAGCAATAGCAACCTTGGAATTATCCTCTTATCGGACTTCTGCCTTGGCTGTGGAGTTGGAGAAAGAGGCTGAACAACCACTCACGCTAAGAAGGCAGCAGTGGAAGAAGGCACAGGTTTAGGAAGCCTTCTAATGCTTAAGTTCCTTAAAACTAAGAGGTTTTTATTTGATTAGGAAGTTTCCTCAAGAGTAAGAAAGCTTGAGGTTTCTTCCAAATGGTTGAGCTCATTTTGGGTGAGCCTCAGGAGGCTATTAGGCTATCAATACCTTCACTGTTGAACTTTCCACAAGTGGAACCATGTAGGCATTATTTCTATTTATCACTTAGGGAATTTTATCTGTATGATCAGCAGATCAGATGTGAATAATGTTACATAACAGCACTGATGTTACACACTTAGGGAATTCTATCTGTACGATCAGCAGATCAGATGTGAATAACACAGAATAACTGCGTAAGAATAAACAGAATCAATACAATTATAATATACGTTGTGTGCGGCAGGCTGTTAGGGATAAAAATTCCATAAATAATTGTTAGGAGCATAACCCCACCCCCAATTCATACATATTCATATATGTATACATACATGTATATATAGAGAGGATTAAGGCACCATTTCTCGCCTGCAAGCTAGTGCTGCTGTACAAAAACTGGCCACATCAATCATTACTGATGGACACTGGTCTGCCAGGCTCGTGCTGCCGTACAGAAACTGGCCACATCAATCGTTACTGATGGACACTGGTCTGCCAGCAGATAGCATGTATAGTACTCCTCATCTCTTCCTGGGATGCTTTGCAAAACTGGATGAATAAAAGTGTCAAGGAAACCAGTGTAGAAGGAGCAATACTTGCAGGAGTCACTCCACCACACCAGCCTCACAAGGACATAAGCGCTCTTTATAGTGAATGTTCTTGTATCTGCCTTCTAGCAGGACTGATGGAAGTACATTAAACTTTGCTAATGTAAAAGCTTTTCTATATTTTGGAAGGGTCAGAATATTCAAATAGCTTGCTGGTAAAAATGCCTGACCATAGCCTCTAAAGCCAGGATGGTCTGTAGCTATGCTTACATGGTGTTGCAGCTCATTGTCTGTGCATCACTTATTGTTCCTTCCTCATTGTTTACCTACACAGTGCCTTGACTCCACTCTCTAAAGCCAGGATGGTCCGTAGCTATGCTTACATGGTGTGCATCACTTATTGTTCCTTCTTCGTTGTTTACCTACACAGTGCCTTGACTCCACCAGTTTTGACCTTAAATTGCATCTGCATGTATCTCCAGGGTGGTCTGTGTCATCTGGCTTGCAGCTGGACATTATACTTGCAGAAGTTCTCTTACAGGTCATTATAAAATCCATTAGACAAGAAGCCTGCTACAAAAGAAGCCTGCATGGGCACCATTCATCACTATAGTCAATAGAGGTTACACCTCTTGCTACTTTTAATTCTGCATTGAAATAGGCCAAGAAAATGGAAAGTTTACAAGCAAGACTTTAATTAACAGCTTTTTAAAAAAAGATGCAGGGAAATATACAGCAGGCTGATATAATTTACCAGAACAGGGTTTCCTCAATCCAGTCAGGTCCCAATTAATGAGTATCTTTACATTTTATTTCATAGCTTTCTATTTCAAGATACAAATAAATGCACTAAGCCTCAGCAAAGAATCAGGAATAGTATAACTGGAGCAATTTTGAAAGGAAAAAAATCTATAGAATTACATTGAATGTTGCTAATCCAACCAATGCCTGATAATTGGCAACCCCCAGCCTGCGTTATTTAATTCACATTTAACTTGTGCCAGCGGACAAAATTCAGTGTATTTGTTCAGTGCTGCTCAACTCTTCTCAGTATTTTATGGCATCTTGTTTACGCCTATATTGTCATCACAGAAAAGAAACAGGAAATATCCCTTCTTCTTTCCTTCCCCCAGATTGTGCAATTAGCTCTCAGCAGCATTTTCTCACTGTATTTTTTTTCTTGCTTGCCGAGCACACAGAATTGATTTCATGTCCATCACTGGCCCCTGGCTTGCTATTCCTTCGGCAAATGGCTTGCATAGATATCCGGCTGAAGAATAACAGCTTTCAATCATTTCACCCCAAAAAGTCTGAGAAGAATGACACATTACCCGGTGTGTGGTCTCTGGTTAAATCCTCTTGTTCGATGACAGTACTGTTGCCAATGTGCCAGTCAAGATCAGCTCTGGGGTCTTGTGTAAATCCACATAAAGTGGTCCAGTCATGGCCTTGAGTCTCAAAGTTACAGCTTCCTGGCACAGTGGTATATTGGCCTGTCAATGTAAGAAAGACCCCACTGATCATTACCGATGTTTCCAGAACACTGTTCAATATCTGTTCACAGTACATTAAAAATACAGACTAAGAAGACTGAAGCATGGACAGGGTTTCTACTCCAGTCTGAAGATGCCGGCCACAGAGACTGTTGAAGCATGGACAGAGTTCCTACTCCAGTCCTCTGAAGATGCCGGCCACAGAGACTGGCAAAACGTCAGGAAGAACAACCTTCAGAACACAGCCAAAGAGCCCAAAAAACCCACAACAACCATTAGATCCCGGCCGTGAAAGCCTTCGCGAATACATTAAGATTGAAGACAATTCCACTAAAACAAGAAAATGGCAGACTGGAAACAACATTTAACACATCAAAAAAGATTCTTATATTCTAGTGCAGGTTCAAGAGGTCAAGCACCTGAGACATGTAAAGCAAACAGCGTTATAAATGAAAAGAATCATAGTCATGGGATGCAAGGTAACCATGGGGTTTGAAATGCAAAAATGTACATAGAAAAATCCTAAGCCTCCCCCAGCTCCAGAGCCATGATGGAAAAGACCATCTAGTCCACTCTTCTGTTTTTGCAGCATCCAGGTAGATACTTATGAGAAGCTACCACAAGACATGATCACAATTGCATCCATCTCGGGCTCCATGACAGCTGGAGGCATACATCCGGTGACACTGGAAATAAGTTTATATTTCCAGCTATAATGAACAAAACTTGGTGTTACTTTAAAAGCTTCAAGGCCCTGCAAGGGATGGAGTTTTGTGGTGGTTTTTTTTTTAAATTAATTAAAAGAAAAGTTGATTTTGACCAAAATCCTCTTGCGTAGTTATGATGGATTAAAACAAATGACATAACTTTTAAAGGCAAATTGCCTCAAATTAAGAATACTTTGTAAACATAATTGGTTGCACACTGAATGAATAGTAAAGATGTAAACAATAAAATTAGTTCAGTTTGACGAATGCTTTGAATCTCTAAGTACTGTCAACATTGCTGGTTATGCTACTACAAAAACAAGAACTAACAGATCTGCTGGACAGCCTAGTGGTCTAGGTCTCAAGCTGCAGAGCCAGTGTTTGGGAGTCCAGTTCCACACCAGGCCTCCTTGACAGGGGCTGGACTCGATGATCCATATGGTCTCTTCTGGCTCTGCAGTTCTAATATGATTATTATTTTACGGACAGACATTCACTTTAGTTCATCTGTCTAAACTTTCCTCTACTGGATTGATGGTCTCCAGAACAATGTTGTAGTATTTGCATAGAAGTGAAAGCTATCCAGGCATGTAAGACATGGTTTTGTTCAGTTCCAGTTCAAACTTTCAGCTTGTGCACAAGAGTTATAAACCAGACCTTGTCAATCTACGTTAGGCTTGTCCAACCCGTGGCCCGAGGGCTGCATGCGGCCCAGGTCAGCTCGCAATGCAGCCCAGTGCAATTTTTTAAAAAAAGAAATTCCAAAGTTTCAAGTTACACTGGTGGCGCTTGCGGCCAGAATGTGGCCGGGTCATGTCACAACAGGAGAGGAGGAGAGAGGGAAGGAAGGGAGGAGGGGGAGGGGAGGGGACAGGGGGGCTGCCTGACTGCATTGCGCCATCCCCGTCAATAGGTGGACCCCCTCCCAGCCCCATAAAGCCGCCGGAGTCGAAGCTGGCAGCCTCTGCTGTCTGAGATCGCAGCTGCCGGTAAGTGCGCTTGGAGCGGGGCTGCAGAGGACGGCTAGGGCTGCCCCCACATGCGGCCCAAACCAAATGTACGTGCTGCCTAAACCAAATTTTCATCTTCTAATGTGGCCCAGGGAAGGTGAAAGGTTGGACACCCCTGATCTACGTACATCAAGCTCCTCAAGGAATTTCCCTTTTTTGCCACTTCTTGGCACACTGCAAGACTTCTATGTAAAATATCACCATTTCCGCCAACAGAGTGATAAAAGTGCTTTGCAAAAAAATTATGTGTTGACATGTTATTTTTTATAATGTCAAAAGGACAGTAAACACATATATGCACCAAGGATGCTGTTTGATCATACCTTCTTGATCTGGGTGAGATAGCTTGTGAATTTTCACTGATGGCAGAGTAGAGGGTTTAAAAATGTCATCTGTGTATAATATCTTTAAGAATAGTTTTGTGCATATTGCCTGATATGCACAAAAGAAGCATAAGAAGCGGTTTGCATAAGAAGAACATTTTTTTTTCCTTAGGAGGCGCAGTGAAGAATCAAACTGTCAACCCCTGGACCTGCATCCAGGCACCCACCTCATTGGCCTATCTGGCCATTTCATTTATTACAATATCCCAATATATCATTCTGAGCAGGAAGGGCTGTTACTGGGTTTGAGAGAGGAAATAATATAATCTGTGAATAGATGAGTTGTTTGATGCCTATATTTTATTTCTATGCCTTCTATTAGTGCATTATATTTAATCAAAATCACTAATGATTCTATAGCAATTATGATGGGTGATGGGGTACAGAACATCCTTGCCTGGTGTCTCACTCCAGTTGAAAAGGTGAGGATTAGGAATTCCATCTATCTATTTATCTGTCGATCTATTATTTCAGTTTGTACACCACTCCATAGTGCAAGCACTCTCTGGTGGGTTCACAGCATATTTACATTAGCAAAGACTGTGGAGCTGAGATTTATATGGACAATAGAAGAGATAAATCTATTACCACACCTAATTTCTGTAGTTATTGAAAGAACCACTCCAGACAATCAAATGCCTTGACTAAATCTATCAAGAGAAGAATGCATTACTATGTTTTGCCTGCCATGACCATTAGCATATACCTGATTGAGGCTGTCGGCTGGCATAAATTCTGACTAGTCAACTGAAATATAATTTTCTGTAAATTTATCTATTCACATTGCCAGAATGACTATTAAGCATTTTAAATCCTTATTTAATAGAGATACTAGTCTATATGGTCTTGGTTCCGTAGGATCAGTCCCGGTTTTGGAGTTTGCTATGGTTCTGACTTCAGTTCAGCTAACAGGAATGTCTTTCCAGAGAATACATACTTACAAAGAATTAAGTACAGTATGTAGAAAATATCCACAAATGCATTACAGAATTCCCCGGAAACCCCATGTACATGTGGTGATTTACCTACTTAAATTAGTTTTATCACTCCTTCTGTCTCAGCAAAAGAGATCCAACTGTTTTAGGAATTCCATTTGAAGATTCTTAAACTGATTGATTTTAAGTCTTTTAGGAAATCAGTTGTGGACAGGTCAGGGCTAAGATTAAGTTTTATATAAAAATTTTTAAAGCTTTACATTACAGAATATATTGAATGCCATTTTCACATTTATCACTCCTTCTGTCTCAGCAAAAGAGATCCAACTGTTTTGAAGATTCTTAAACTGATTGATTTTAAGTCTTTTAGGAAATCAGTTGTGGACAGGTCAGGGCTAAGATTAAGTTTTATATAAAAATTTTTAAAGCTTTACATTACAGAATATATTGAATGCCATTTTCACATTTGATTGACAGCACTTTTGGCAGTTGTCCTCCTAATGGCCCCCCACTGTTGTTGTTATCATGTGCCATCAAGTCACCCCCAAATCATAGTGACCCTATGAGTGAGCAACCTCCAAAAGGCTTTATCTTCAACTGCCCTGCTCAGCTCTTGTAAATTTAAGCCTGTTGCTTCCCTTAGGCAGTCAGTCTACCTTATATTTGGTTTTCCTCTTCTCCTGCTGCCTACCATCTTTCACAGCATTATTGTTTTTTCCAGAGAACCCTCCGTTCTCATGATGTGCACCAAGTAGTACAGCCTCAACTTCAACATTTTTGCCTCCAGAGAGTTCATAAGAAATTCATAATAACTATGTTTCTTATAAGTAAAGTAGGTTTTCACCCTGTCAGATTGTATAAGGGTTAGTTCCGAGAGGATTTTCATGTTGTCTATCTGCCAAGATGTCAGAAATGCATTGATGAAGAAGACCATTTCTAATTTTATCTTTTCCTTTCTTAACTCTTAACACTTTCTTGGATGAGCTACTGTATGACATTGATTCATTTCTTTAAAAGGAGAAACAGAGGGAGAAATTGACATATTTGGTTACACTAAAAAGAGCCTGGGTCCAGATCAGTAAATTTTGGCTGCATTACCAAATAAAATCTACTCTCCTATTGCCAATTATATGTTACCAATATCTGGAACACCTGCATTCTATTTAACAACTTATGGAATACCACAGGCTCACAGATCATTTGTGCTTGCTAGGTTTAATATTTTTCCCCTCAACAACACGCCAGAGCAGATCCTTAGGAATTCCTTACCAACAAAGATACTGCCTGTGCTTTTAAATCTTATCATATGTTCTATAATGTAACTTTTACAGAGAGCTTAAATATCAGAGACATCCTAATGAGTGTCTGGTTATATACCATCTGTCAGCCCAGAACTAATATGATACTGCTCAAGTTGCCTATATTTTTTAGGCACAATATGCTGTAAATGTGAGTTCAGTTGTTGAATGATAGTGAGTCATTCCCCCAACCCACCTCTATTGTTTTTTTTTAAGTGCATATACTGTGTGTGATTTACAAACAGTCTGGTCAGCACCCTGAACGAGTTGTATATATTGACCACACTTGATCTGAATTTACGTATTAGTTAACAAAGCCACTGATCCATTGGAAGCCATGCTTGAATGACAAAGTCTCTGTTATTTGTCAAGTAGCAAATACTTGCCTGCATTAACAAATTGTACCTAAGGGTTTTTAAGAAAATTGTACCTTTGGAAAAATGGATTTTGGGAAAGGTGGTGATGCATGAAAGAATCTTAGATGACAATGAGGGTTGCAGTGACGAAAGCTTAGTTTTCTAGTGTATTTTGTTCTCTCTTTTGACTGAAAAAAGTTTAGAGTGTGAAGTCTATAAATGAAAATACTTTAAATTGATTTTACTCTTTGCTGACTGAAGAGCTGTTGATTTCTCCACATTTTTATTGTGTGACTACAAATGAACCTACT